GCTTTTTGTCTGATAGCTGACTTCTTGTTCGTTGAGGAGAATGAATTGTTCGTGCTGCAGATACGGGCTCTCGCCAGAAATATCCCAGATCTGATGGCGAGCTGTCCATCTAGCGCACTTTGCAAGCAGTTCGGGGAGAGTCTGAGGGTCATTCTGTGCATGAATTTCATTCCAAGTAATCTCAAAGTGCCTGGTTCTGGTTAGCCAACGAAGTAGACATCAAGCAATAATTATAAAGAAATGCCGGGCCGGGATATGATTCACCAACTTCGACCGTAACAGGAGGTAAAGCAATTCAATAAATACCATGACTGATATTTTGGAGCTCAGAAAGCTCACCAAGCACTTCACAAACATAAGAAGCCGCCTCACTCACGCTAGTATGTTCGTAGGAAGCTTTTGTACCCCTGAGATGCTTCGTATATAAGCTCACAGCATATTTAAGAAAGGGTAATATTTGAAGAATAACTTTTAGAGATGCCTGTTGAAAGAGCTCGCCTGATAGTGGTCGTCAAGGGACGTGATCAGTGATATATCGAACACAGAAACCGGCCAGTTCCGTCTCGCATTCGAAAGCGCAAAATGAAACAAGCTCGTAAACAGACGGGTGAAGACATTTACGCGGAATGTCTAACGCCAGCTTGGAGAGCAAGAACTTGGAAACAGATTGGTGAATAAATGCATACAACCTGCCGTGTCTTTCCGAGTGACAAACTTCAACCAAATTTGAGCACACCAAGAGAATAACCTCCCTCATTGCCTCGAAGTCTTTCTCAGTAAGAATGCTTTCATGACCACAAGAATCGTCGACATTCATTGCATCTGGATCATCGAATGAGTTGCAGGCAAGTAGAATATCGTGAAGTTGGTCAGCGCTGAGGAAGGCTTTTTGAACAGGAGCCAAGTAAATATGCGCCTAGCAAGAATTCGTTGGTAATAAGGTGCTTCCTCAATGAGGTTCGGAATTTTACAGTAGATGCGGTCAAGAATCTCTGGATACCTGAGTTCTCGAATAATGCACAGCGGATCGCGGGGACGAGGTGCTGCAAACTTTGATCGTAAGCATGTAAACATCAGATGAGCCCACAAAAACATGCCGTTGGCACCCGCAACCAACAAATCTAAAAGTTCCTCTGTCAAGTTCAGTTCTGACTGAGGCAACAAACCATCGCGAAACAAAGTTTCAAGCCGGAATCTGAAGTACAATCGCAGACCCCCTCCATTCAGATCAGCCGTGAGCTGAAGTGTCGACAGCTTCTTGGTGAAGCGTGCAAAGTTGGTCCTCGTCCTCCTGACATTCATCCAGGCCATCTATCACGACATATTTGGGACCGATATGTCGTTTGAGAGACAATTTCAAAAGATCGCGAATCATCCCAGGTGAACCAGAACGCTGGGCCTGGCTAGATGACGTCATGGTAAAGTTGATGGTGTAGCGAAACCCAGAATCATCCGGATGTTGCTGAAATACCTGCGAAAGAAGTGCCCTGTACGCGCCGTCTGTCGAAAACAGTCCAGGTTGTGCTGAATTAAAAAGGAAATAAAAGATCAGGGCGCTTTTGTCTGGATTGCCGATGTGTTTGGTTGACAGCGTCTCCATAGCTAAGCCAGCCAATGTCGACTTCCCGCTGCCCAGGTTTCCTGCGACACTGTTAGACTCTTTTCAAAGCTCTTCCTAGATATGCACAGCACCATTTTCCTGGCATGGGCACCAGTGGTCAAGAGAAAACAGGCCGGGTCTCCACAAACTGAAATATAAACCAGTGTAGCTCTTCCTCCAATGTTGAAACTCCACAGTCTGGAATAGCCATGCTCCAGTATCGGCGTTCCGTTGCTGGGTAGCTTGCTCGTACTCTTGCATAAATTCTGGGGGCTTGATATAGTCAAGAGTCCGACGTCACCTTTCTTCTGTTGTGATGCAACACATTAGATATGTTGAGCGGTCTTGAGAAAAGCGACATGGCAAAAAAGGTACCAGTGAAATGTGTAGTGTGTTGCTTTTGTAACTTCTCTAGCAACCTTTGTTGTCTGACAAATATCTTTTCGGAGCTGGAGATCGCTAAAGCCATGTAACAGTACCTCATATTCTTTCAGACGGTCTACTTTCTCATCTTCAGGTTCCGGGTTCCGTAACAGAGAAAAGTTGACCTTATGGAGACAAACCATCAGTGTATCTTGAATAGTCTGAAGCCTCTGTAAAACGCCGTTTCGAAACTCTTGCATCTCTGGTCGATGAAGTGTCTGTGTCTTTTATGTCTGTACAAGCTTCTTTAGTTGAAGAGTGATTTCGTCTTGAATTATACTAGGACGATCGGTAATGCGGTCGAGCACGTTACGGAATTTGACGTCGAATGGATACCACATCAGCTGCATCACAATGCCACCTACCCCTCTCCGTTTTTGCGTATGTCCTTTACTAGTGAAAAGTCACTCACGGACAACTGTACCATCAAGGATTAATACTTACTACCGCCTTTCTTCATAAATACCAACGCAGTTTGACAGAAGAAGCCAAGTAGATCACGATAAAATTCTTGGACCGCCGCTTTGAGTCGAGGCGAGGGTGCACTGCCATCTGAACTCGAATTAGCAACAGTTGATGAAACAGAGGCACCCTGTTGTTAAGCCTTTTCAGCACCTCGGCAAGTCTCTCCAGAAAACTCGTGTAATTGCTGGCCAGCTGTCCCAAAAACGTCAATATTTCCTATCACTAAGTACCTGATTTTGTGATTTGAATTTCACTTACTTGCAGGACCAATCTCAAAGCGCCCCAAGTAATCGCAGCCCACTCAGGATTCAAGGAGACAAAGATTTCCACAACTTTGAAATACGGCTCGATATGCCCCATGAATGCAGCCAGTATTTTGAGTATTGAATCAACAAGCTGTGGTTTTGAGAAACTTTAGTACAGGCTTTTGATAGTGGCCAAACACATCGGGTGCTGTCGCACTGGGCCCGAGTTCGGAAATTGGGTTGCACTGGTCTGCGGGCAGAGCAGAAAGAAATGCCTCTCTTGCCTGAGAAGATACAGCATCTACATCCTCGACTGCCGCCATGCTGTCATGTTTTGCTGCGCAATTCACAAGGAAAGTGATAACGAGGGGTTTGTGGCAAGCTGATGGGCCATAATACATAGTACATGACGGTGCAGAACCTAGCTGTGTACTGACTCTACTCACGTGGGAAGTAGAATCCCTGATTCACCAAACTTGGTGGCCTCAAGTGCTAGCTTCCTGCATATTTTAGGCAATTGGATAATAGGTATAATCGTGGGATATTTACTCCTGCCTTAAAATTATGGTAAACGTGCGACATGTGGTTGTCCAAAACGGTGCCAGTTGGGCATTCGGCCTTTTTCTAGTTGCCCGAAAGGTCAAGAATGTGCTGGTCACCCAAGGGACAGGAGGGCATGGGTTGCCCTTAAGAAGAGGCCTGCTAGTCTATAGGACTTCTATCCCGTTAGAAGAGTTTAATTACAAAGTGAGTGCACTGGCGTTCAGATAGGAAGGATAGAAGCTCAGAAAAAGGACTGGAGAAGGCTTAGATGACAAGGGGAAAGTAGTGAGATAGATCTAACATTAACGTGCGTGATAAGCGAGCGGCGAATTTTCCACGCAACACAACTCCTTCACCTTTGACACTCAATTCTACCACAACAAGCCATGGCTAACCCTCAAACGAAGCCCATATTCTGCTAGCTCTCGAAGCAATTAAAAACAGCAAAAATCCCAATGTCCTTGCCACATCCAAACTATACAACGTTCCAGAAGCAACACTTCGCTACCGACGCGCCCCCTGTCGGCAAACGTTGAGCTCACAACTTCATTAAGCGCCAGCCAGATTTGTACGCGTTTTACGTGTAAATACGACTACCAGAGGGCCAAATGCGAGGATCCAAAGGTTATTGGCGAGTGGTTTGCCCTTGTACGGAACGTCAAGGCCATGTACGGCATCCTTGACAGCCACGATAGCCACCACTCCGAAGAGTTCGAGACCTAATGCCAGGAGCACAACATTATTACACTTTGTATGCCTCCCCACTCCTCGCATCTACTTCAGCCACTGGATTTTGGTTGGTTTGCGCCATTGAGGAAAGCGTACAGCCGCCAGGTTGAGCAGTTGATGCGGATGAAAATCATACACATCAGCAAGTTAGAGTTTCTTTGTGGGTTTAGAGAAGCATTTTTTGCTTCAATTACAGAAAAGAACATCCAGGGTGGTTTTTCCGGGCGGGCCTTGTTCCAAACGACCCAGAGAGGGTGATATCTAAGCTGGATATGCGCATTCGAACTCCAACACCCCCAAGCTCAAGGCCAGGCACAGCACTACCTTGGGTCTCCCAAACACCACACAACCCTCGAGAAGCAAGCTCCCAGTCAGAGCTTATCAAAACTCGGATATCTAACCACCAAGGCAGCTCTCCAACATCTATGTTGACTGCTGTGAACCAGTTAGCTAACGGTACAATGGCTGTGATGCACGAGGTGGCTCTTCTCCGTGCAGAGATCTCTTCGCTACGCAAGGCCAATGAGGGGCTTAGTAAGAGACGGAGAGCCAAAAAAAAAAAAAAAAAAAAAAAAAAAACACGTGCGCAGCTTGGAGAATCACTTGCTGTACAAGACGCACAGGATATACTAGACCAGAAGGCTGTGGGTGAACAGATGGCCCAAGAGATACGACAAAGTGGTGGTGGTGCAACGGGGTCTCGTATGAAGATTCGGTGTTGTGGCGTGTGCGGCAAGCCTGGCCATAATTCACGCACGTGCAAGGAGGCTGTGGAATCGTCTGATTCATCTGTTTCTAATTCAGTTATTGTTATTTCCTAGTGTTGTGGTTGTGTAATTGAGATTGATTGTGGTGGGCTGGTGGAAAATTCATCGCTCGCTTATCGCGCGTTAACGTCAGACAAGACTGTTGATTTATGGGTTCAGGGTTGAAGCGTTCCACCACGAGACCCACACCAGCCTGTGGAAAGAACAGAAAAAAGTTATAATGATGGTCTCTCCCGCCGGGAATTGAACCCGGGTCTCGAGCGTTGACGTCTGAAGATGACAAGCTCACATACTGACCACTATACTACGGAAGATTTGCAGGTGTTGTCACCTGTTGTAGCTTGCGTTATTTCACCGAATTTGGCATCTAAGACTTACAATAAATAATAAGATGGAATTTGGATACTTCAGAGGCCTGTCCCATGTTATCATGATTTCTTAAGTCTCAATAGAAAGTGAACTACTTATATCACTTTAATCCACTTCCCTCTTTCGGGAGAGTATTTGCATTGAGATATATCACTTGACTCTCGCTCATGCAAAACCATGGTGAGCAATTCAGCTGGAATCTTTCGCATCGTTGGCTTTGGACAATTGCGGAGCTTCCCTCGAGTTCCGGTTGTCAGTTGACAACTCTGAGCCAGTGCTAGCCGAGCAGAAGGAAGGGAAATTGTCTGTTTTTCTCGGGTGGTTTCTGCCAGCTGGGGTTAGTATTCATATTGTCTTTGGGACTCTCCTTCTGTCTTCGCTTTTGTTCATCGGTGTACAGGATGCTTTTGTCCGTTTAGGGAGGATGATGGTTTGAGTGCTGACTGCTGGCTTGTCGAGAAATAATCATGTATGAACTATCGGGCTGCGGGAAACATTCTGGGATTTGATTAACGAAGACGTGAATTCGAGTGAGAAGCAAACTGACCTAGCCGTGTTGGGAGTCAAGAATCTGACAAGATTGTGGTTCAAATTGGACTATAAAAAAGGGCCAGGACCATGCCGGTGGTGTCTGCTTGTCCTGTTTCTCCAAAATCTTTAAATAGGTCTCTTGTATAGGTAGCTGCACGGCACTACTTCATTCTTCCCTTCCCGGCCTCCTTCATCATGTCAAAATAGGCACTCAACTTCCCCTTCACCTGCCCTTCACCCCATGCCCAGCCATACTTTTTCATAAACATCTCGATCCTCGTATCCATCTCCTCCATTTTCCTCTGCTTCCACCTCTTATCCACTTCTTCTCCCTCCTCAACCCTTATGTTTTCTTCCATTTCAACTTCAACAACTCCCCACCCGAAGCAAGTACTGTCCCTGACAACGACAAAGTCGCCGTCTACCCTCCATGCTTCTCGGTAGCTTGTGAAGTCAGCCATCTTATCCAGACCGAAATTTGCTGTGGCTTCCCCAGCTGTTTTTGTGAAAGCTTCAACAGCCTTTGCGATGTCCGACTCTGCCCGTAGCTCCTCAAATCTGGTGTTTTGTTGTCCTATCCTGGCCGATGGGTTGAACTTTGCCTGCCAGGCGCCATTTCTCTTGCGCACCCAGAGGCCATTGGAACTTAGAAGGTCGTTCTTGTCGTAGTAGACGTCATGGATGGTTTTCAGTGGCAAAGGGTCAACAGAAGTGAAGGCAGGGCGGGACCAGAGCGAAGGGTCGCTGAGTGTCGGAATGGCGAGGCACGCCACTTTTCGTTCGACTTCCAGGGTGATGGTCTTGGGGCCTTTGGTGAAATTGGCGATGGTGGAGAAGTGTCTTGAAGGAAGCTGCTTAAACAAAAGTCGAGAAGACATGCGACACGCCATTTATTGCGAAGATAGGGAATTGATGTCGTCTGAATAGGATTCCCGGTGATGTGAGATGGATTGTGGTTATTATTAAAATAGAAGAAAATGGCTAAACGATAATAAAAAAAGGAATGCCAGATTGAAGGCGACAAAATGAAAGGGTGTGAAGTTGCTATGGAGGGAAGGTGCGAGTAAAAGGACCATCTAGAAATGGAGAGAAAGGATTACTGAGAAGGAGCGATCTGACCTACGGGTTGGTCTGCAGTGGCTCTCGGTGAGGCCTACAGCATGAAATGTGCCAAGTGTTACACAACCGTTTGCTGCTTCTTGCACATTCATTACCAAGCTCATTGTGGTCTACCGGTGGCTTTTACAAGGGCAATTGGTATTCTCTAGTCTATAGTCATACACCTCAACTCCCTCAACCGTTCCCGCAGTTAAAAACTGTAAATCTGGTCAGGCTTGTAACCCAGCTCATGCAACACACCAGTCTTGCTCCCAAAAGGACCCTTGCCGCCCTTCAACGCCTTCTCCATCGCCGGTGGCCCACAGACCATAACCTTGATGTTCTTGTTCTTCTCATCATTTGCTCCTAGGCCAAGCTCCTCAAGCACTTTTCTATCGACATATCCCTTGCGGTATGTCAACCCGGCTTCTGGTTGTGAGACGACATATTCGGCTCTGAATCTCCCCGGGTACTTTGACTGCAGCTCGGCAAGCTCCTTCTTGAGGAAGATGTCTCGGTCACCGTTGACGCCCCAGACAAGAGTGATTCTGGTCTTATCCTCAGGGTTGGCCAAGATGCCCTGAATAAGCTGATACATGGGAGTAATGCCAGCTCCACCGGCGATCAGAGCGACGTGCTCGTGCTTGTTGGGCTGCCACACGTACTCTGGAATGCGAAGGCAGGTGATGGTGTCGCCCGGCTTGAGGGAGTGCAGATAACCGCTTTGCTTTCCGTCGGGGTAGAGCTTGACCATCAACTCTACAAAGCCTGGCTCGTCCAATGGGTTGGTGGGCGTGTAAGGGCGGACCACGGGTGTCCACCGGCCGTTGGAAGGGGGAAAGGAGACGGTCAATAGAGCGGAGCTGAGAGTGAGGCCGCTTGATTGATTTGGGTCTGGGAGCTCAAAGCGGAGTTTCTTGGTGTTGTGATTGACGAGCTCGGAGCTGTGGAGCTTGAGGGTGCGGAATCCGAAGCCACTGAAGGGCTTAGTGTCGCTGCCGGAACCCGTGGCGGATGTGCCAGGGGCTGCAGTGGCGCCGCTTCTCATGTACACATAGGCGCCAATGCCGACGGCAGCGGCTGCAAAGGCAACTTGTGTTGTCATTGCTTCTGCGCGTCTAGGTGTCGGGAAAGTTCGATGGAGAAGTCTGGAGTTGTGGGCAAAAAAGGGCCGGAATAGGTTATTGGTAGGAGGCATGTTGAAGGGCGACCTGAGCTGGCGGTTGTTTGGTTAAATAAAGTGTTGCCCTGGAGGAGGTCCGGAACACCGAGACCAGAGACTAGACGATCGCTGTTTTGAGCGCGTCGAGTTCTTTGGCTAATATGCTAACGGCGCACGTTTCGGAGTCGGTGTTTGGGGAAGTCCAGTTGCTGCAACCGGTGATGTGGTTACTTTATACCTAGCGACTGCATCCCTCTTCTCATTCTAGGTAGGTATTTTTACAGTCTCTTTCCTTTGAGCACCAGAGTAACATCAGCTCGGATCCGATAGCATCGGCCGTGGCCGGCATGGCTGAAAACGCTGCCGTTGGTCAGCCTGCAGACATCAATCAGTCGACTTATCAGCCAACAGCAGCGAGGTTCACGGTGATTTAGAAATGCCGACGCCGACCTAGTCGGCTCGCTCTTGACGGCACGCCCGACATAGGTGGATTCCTAGGCTTCCATCCCATTGGCTTGTGAGCGGCCAAGAAAAAATATGGACGCCATTTGCGATCAAAAATGTACAGCAGTTTGGGATAAATACAATTCTTCTCTTTCTGGATGCTCAGTCTTTTGACGTGAAGTGCAAGGTGGAGACAGGGAAGGTGGGAACATTGAGTGGATCTCGGATTCCCTGCCCGCTAGCGCATGGCAATGGGCCCACAATCCGTTGGCGGCTCTCTTGGCAACGCTCTTTCTCAACATCTAACGTCAGTCCAAACTCAAAGTGTCAAAAAACGAAAGATATTGCAGAGCTGTTTGCCTCCGAAGCTGCAAAATTAATTCTTACTCCAGGTGCTTCTCGATGATTCTCTTCTCTTCTTTCTATCATTTCGAGGAAAGCCGGAAGTCTATCTGCTACTTCTCCAGTCCAGCTTTCCTCCCTGCTCTCGGTCCTCTTATTTGGCTTTCCGTTGCGAAAACCATCCGCACCAAGGTCCCTGCACGCCGTTTTACCCCCTCTTTAGGGTGCTAAAACAAGTGGGCAGCTTGCGTGACCTGTTTCGTTCTTCCTGGGACAAGATTCAAAGCAGCACGATTCATGGTCTGTCTTTTCTAGAAAGAGATGGAGCTCTTGGCAGCTTGTGTGATGGCGTTCGGCCCAGGGGTTCGTAAGTCGATGTCATCAAGTGATGCTGTTGGCCATCATGAAGAGTATATCTCGTTACATTTCTAATCTCGGGGGTTTCTCACCTCGCTCTCCATCTCTTTCAGCTCGCCGCTCGTTGCTACCACCACGGGGCTTTTAAGGCCCTGACATGCCTCTAACTTCCTTCACTGCATGTTTATTGACCCCTGAGAATTCACTCAGTGACGTCATGTTGCAACCACTGAGTGACCGCCTCGAAGATGATCCAGAGAAGCCTACGCATGAAGATTCCGACCAAACTGATCGCGACACGTCCTCTCCCGAACGACCAGGTGCCACCGATGACGAGATCATTCCCGCTGTCCTGTTTAGCAGGCCAGCTACACCTGCCCGCCAATTTTCCAAGACCAATGCTCCTCCAATAGACAAGATCGAACTAAAGGAGGAAGATGCATGGGAAGAGCTGGGATTTTGCTTTCCTATGTGGAAGAAATGGACTATTCTCACCATTATTTTCCTGGTACAGACATCCATGAACTTCAACACGTCGCTTTACTCGAATGGAATCAGCGGAATATCGGAGGAATTTGGGGTCAGCGCCCAGGCTGCTCGTGCTGGCGCTGCCATATTTCTCATCACCTACGCCTTTGGGTGCGAGCTTTGGGCGCCATGGTCGGAAGAGTTTGGTCGCAAACCTATTCTCCAGCTATCTCTTGGGCTGGTAAATATTTGGTGTCTTCCAGTTGTCTTGGCGCCAAACTTCGCTTCCCTCATGGCCGGTCGGGCACTGGGAGGATTATCATCGGCTGGTGGGAGTGTGACGTTGGGCATGGTCGCCGACATCTTCGAACCAAATGACCAACAATACGCCGTTGCCTACATCGTGTTTTCGTCTGTTGGTGGCTCCATTCTGGGACCAATCATTGGCGGGTTTGTGGAAGAGTATTTGCATTGGAGGTGGACCATCTGGATTCAGCTCATCTTTGGCGTGTTTGTCCAGCTGCTTCATCTGATCTTTGTGCC